GATGACAGGCCCGCCATCCAGGCAGGCTTGGGAAGAGACCCTTCCTCGCTCATCACTCTGGAAGGTGCCCTCCTCGTGACCGTGAGCTTCGTGCAGCGCAGGGTCGACTGCCACTGGAAGATGGCTCGTGGCCAAATCGCTGCAGCGGTCATTCAAGTCAGACGCCATGTAGTCACATACCGCACGCCCCAGCGACGGCGGGATCTGGACCTCCGAGAATGTTGCCGAACCACGGGCGGGACATGATCCGCTCAGCAGGGCTCTCTGGAGGTGCTTGTATGCGCTTGACTGGCTGGCGAAAGTCCGCCGGCATACAATACATGTATTTGTAGGAGTCACCGTAGAGCATAGATTGTGAACTTTGTGCCTACGGCGCATGTGATTCATGAGACCCCTTCTAGTCTGGAGCCGTTATGCACATAAACCGCCCTCCTCCGTGACCCACTCGCAACTCCAGCGATGTCCCTGTCCGTCCTCTCCTTCAGACTCCGCCGCCCGCTGTTGCTCCTCCTCCTCCAGGTGGCCCATGGGGGGTACCGTCATCGAGAGCTCCCGAGACCGTATTTCAGTGAAGTCCGCTCGGATCCAGAGCTCGCGATGCTCTTCATCGGCGAGGTCGCCAGGGTAAAGCGCAAGGTGTGCGCAGACTCCCCCTTCATCCAGGAGTTCCGACGCACGTCGAAAATCAGCTTGCATTCGAAGTAGCCACGGAGACGCTGTAGACGGGGCGACCCTGCGGCCGATCATCGGTTTGCCCCCCTCGTCCAGGTCCAGGGCCCCGAATAGAAGACATAGTTCCTGAGCGTGATTGGTGGGGGAGAAGGCCCAGCTGCGATGCCATCCCAAGCGTCTCACCAGCATCTCCGTCTCCGCACAAGCTAGACGCCAATGCTGCCTCACCCTCCGATTCGACCACGAGCGAATGCGTCGTTGAACGTTGACGCCGTCGGCGTCCGTGCTGCGCACCGTCGTCACCGCCTTCCCCTGCAACGCCCTCCTCCCGCACCGAGCCATCAACGAGTCGAGTTCGCGATAATGTCGAGGCGTCAACAGCATTGGTTCTAATCCCGTCAGCGCCGCATTCTGCGCGAGGCTGAGAAACAGCGTCCGCTTCCAGCGGAACGGAACTTCCAGGGCCCAATTCTGCCCCAGAGAGTAGTAGGATTCGGCCGTCGCCTGAACCCGTCGACGGATCTCCACCGTCGCAGACTGCAACATGTTGAGTTTCGGCCCGAGGTAGCGCACATCCTCCTTCAACTGTCCTGAAATTTGCTCACGTCCCCGCCCTCGTGCCCACCGTCTACACTGTAAAGCCCCTGGGCCCTGAAAACAAAGCTGAACCTCCTGCTTGGAAACGTTCTGGGCGTAACCTATCTCAGCCAACTCCTCCGATAACATCTCATCAGCCTGCTTCAGAACCAAAAAAAACTGCCCCACCGTATGATGGGGAGAGGCAACGTGCGCACGGCAAATATCGTCGGCGCACAGGCGGCCCCCGACGTCCGCCAGCTGGCCACAAGACCTGCAGCTGATGGATCAAACTCCCTCAGCCTTCGAAGCCGCTGCAAGATGGGTCGCGAGAAGGTGCCCCTAAAGATTTCGACGACGATGGGGCCCCCCATCGTGCCGCCCTCCCCCGTCTTGATGTATAATCCCCCCTCCACCGTCTCCAACCAAATAACGCTGTTTCGACAGCGTTGGATACACAAGTCAACATTGCGCGGCTCGGCGTGAATATCCACTGCTTGTTGTAATTCCTCCCAAGACCCACTAGCACATGCATTCGTCATGTCCTTATAAGTGCAAGCGAACGAATGGCCCGCGCGTCGGAGGCGCCAGCACAGCAGCTGCACCACTAAAATGGCCCCCTCGCGCCGCCGGCCTGAACAGAATCCGCGCTCGATGACCGTGGGGGGAGCTCGAAGGAGGCCCGAGTAACAAGCTTCCCCCAGGGTCGGGAGGACGTGCACCGTACAGCGGCCCACTGGGCCTGGTTTCGCGTTCTTCCTGAGCTGAGCCGCCGAGCTGACGTGCCATCTCAGCGGTGTCCTGTTGGTTGCCCGAGTATTCCGACATCCCCCCTCAAGAATCTTCCCAGACAGCTTGATCTCTGGAACCTCCCGATTGCATCCTACCCCCATGTGCGTGGTGTCTATGTTGTTCGACGGGTCCATGCACATCAGCCAGAGCTCCGCTGGCGGGGCCCCCGATGGCACCACTTTCCTTTTGCTGGCAGACCGAAAGTATTTCCTCACCCTCCATTGGTCCTGACTGGCAAGTTCGCAATCCTCCACTGTTACGTAAGGCGTTTCCCCTGCAGGGGCTGTCTCCATCCAGGCGTCGAAATCGATTTTGCGCGCCGACATTCCCCCCTCGCAGCCCTGCTGGGCCCAATGTTCCAGGAGCGTATCCTCAGAGAAAAGCCCTCCCCGTAGAAGTCGCCCGCCCCGTCGTTTCGGCCCAAACCGACATCGGGCAGCTTTCCTGGACAAACGCATAGCCTCGGCCATGCGGCGATGTTGCCACGCCTCCTCGGTCTCCTCCAAAAGGGCGGTCCGCCTTTCCCTTTGATACTTTTGTCGCTGCCTACGGAGCGATTGACTGAGATCTCTCAAGCGTACTTCACAACCCTGCAACTCTATGGAATGCTCGATCATACCAAGACGCGAACGACGAAGACGAGCCCGCTCACGGAGAAGCGCAGTACGCTCCATGGCATCCTGCCTGTACGTCGGGTCATTGGACGCGGTGCGGCTGGAAAAACAGCTGCCCCGCACTGACCACTGTGTCGTCCAAGTGCTGGAACAACTCATCAGGCCGTCCGTGCTGCAGCAGAGCTCTCCACGTGTCCTCGCTATCTGACAGGCTGGCCTCGACCGCCTCCAAGAATTCAGCTCGTCTGTCACCATTTCGCAAGGACCCCATCATGTCGTCCTGATTCCAGTACATGCGGTGGAGCGAAGGTGACTCTCCATCCTCTGACAATCTCAAGCCATGCAGCTCCATGTATATGGGGATGCGATCTTTCGGCGGGGCCCCCCGAAACGCTTGGAGCTCCGCAGCCAGCCCACGTAATGGAGAAAATCGGTGAGCCATGTCGATCATGCCATCGGGTACAACGAAATAATCAATACAGCTGCTCCCTCCAGTCGAACCGTAAAAAGTGTGCTCCAACTCTGCGCCTCTCGAATTCACCGTAAACATGTGGTGGCGCTCATTCGCCAATCGAAACAACTCTCCCGCTCCACCCCGACTCTGTTCCCGAGCACGCCCAGGACCCAACGAGGAAAACTCCATCTGATGTCACTGCCCCGCAATACGGCTGATCCCCTGTCCGTCGTTCAGGTCCACGTACACCAGCGGCGTGCACCTGCTCGGCAGGCACTGGAGAATGCACGAGGCGGGCGTGACGGGGCTGCGGCGGCAGATACATCACAATGAATGCCAGGTCAAGCTGGCCATTCTTCACGCGGGCTGCCAGTGCTCGGCCTTCAGCGCCCTGTGGGCTCGCCCACGTCTGGCAGATGTGCTGCTCACGGAAGTTCGAGCCCAGCATCAATGCGCAGCCCGTCGAACGATTGGTGAAAGCGCCAACCCCTGCCTCCGCCTCGAGCACCACACGCTTGCCAATCTTTCGGCACAGCACTTCCGACGCTCGGCGGGATGAAGCCTGCGTGCCCGCCAGCAGCACCGCATCCATGCTGCTGCAGCACAATGCAATCTCCTGCAGCCGTTGGCCCGTCGCGAACATCGGATTGAAGCCCATGACACGCAATACCCATTGGCCCACGGACCGCGCCATCGCGGTTCCCTCGCAGTCGCCGCGGAGGGTCACATGGCCGCCGCGCGCTGGCCGCCCCTGGTGGATCTCGCGCCAGGGTGGCGGCTGGAGGGAGGAGGAGGAGGAGGAAGGAGGACGAGGGGAGGACGAGGAGGAAGGAGGGAGGGTAAGGAGGACGAGGAGGGAGGAGGAGGGAGGGAGGGGAGGAGGACGAGGAGGGCGAGAAGGAGGCGAGGAGGAGGCGACGCCCCGAGGTGAGCCCACAGAGGGCGTACGCGCCCGACCACGCACACGAGCACGGCCCCCACTCCGTGAAACCAGCCTCGCGACACGAACGCTCGCGCAACGCGCACTCTCGAGATCGGCATGTCTTCATGCACGGGTACGTTGCTATCTCGCTCCTGGCCCAGGTTCCCTCTTCCTGAGTCTCTGCAGTATTTGTTCATTGCCAGAAGTGCCCCCCTGGAAGACAGCAGTCCGAGGACCCTCGATCGTGCCAAGGCGCAAATTCTGAGGCCTCCCAGATGGGGTCCGAGTAGATGGGGTCGTAGGATCGCGACGCATCACCAACACTTCGCGGATGCATTGGCGATGCGTCGGCAATGCATCGGTGACGTCGGCGACGCGTCCGCAACGTCGGCAGCAAGACAGCTGGGCTGCACATCGAGCCGCATCGACGATGCATGGGCGATGCGGCGCGATCCTCCAGAGCCTGACCGAATCGGAGCAGGCGTCGGATCGGCCTGCACCAGCGAGCAGCCGAAACCAGGCCAGACCGGCGGCGCTACGCCGCACCGCGGTGCCGTGCGAGCGTGAAAAAGTCGGGCCGCGGCGGAGCCTCGGACCCTCGGGCACCGCCTCGGATCGGGCCGGCCGGGAGGCGAGGCCGAACTCGGATCTCGAGTGGGACCCCTTCTCCCACCCGGGGCCGGAGAGCCCAGAATCGAATCGACAAGTCAGAGCGATGAGTCGGATCGGTGAGTCGGATGGGTCCAACCGATGAGTCGGAGCGGCGATCGCAGTGAATCGGATCGGCGGAACTCGGCAGCCACGTCGGGAGAAGTCGAATCGACGGAAATCGGCAGGCTGGCAAGGCCTGCATGGAGGAATCGGAATCCACATCGGAGTCCGGAGTCGAATCGAATCGGAAGCGGAGGCCATCGACACCGAATCGAATCGAAGCGGAGGAGTCGAACTGAGCCCTGACCGGGGTGCCCACCTGCCCGCACAGCGGCAGCCACCAGAGCTGCGAGACCTCGTAGGGCTGGTGGTAGCTCTCCTCCGAGACGGCCCTCCACGCCTCCCCGGCGGGGGCGAAACTGGCGAAACCCTCCTCTCTGGGGAGGCCAAGGGGAACCTCCTCCTCCTCCTCCTCCTCCTCCTCAGGAAGCAACTACTGGGAGGTTTTCGTCGGAATGATTCAAGAAGGTTGAGACCCATTGAGGGGCTGCTGCGCCTGGATTCAGCGGGAGACTAGCCGTGCTCAGCGGGCTTACGCCGGATTCAGCGGGACAAAGCAGGGAGGAGGAGGAGGAGGAGGAGGAGGAGGACCTCGAACCTCGCCTCTGACCATTCGAACTCTCGAGGCGCACCCGGCGGTGGCGGCGAGGGCCTCCCCGGGAGGCCCCGAGAGCCCCGAGCGAGGCGAGGGCGGCGGCGGCAGCGGCACCTGCTGCTCCTCGGGCTCTCGCCTCCCCTCTCCGCCTCCGCCTGCTCCTCCTCCTCCTCCTCCTCCTCCTGCTCCTCCTCCTCCTCCTCCTCCTCCTCCTCCTCCTCCTCCTCCTCCTCCTGCTCCTCCTGCTCCTCCTCCTCCTCCTCCTCCTCCTCCTCCTCCTCCTCCTCCTCTTCCTTTTCCTCCTCCTCCTCCTCCTCTTCCCCCTCCCCGCCTCCTCGAGGGAGGCCGCAGGAGCCGCCCGCGCAGGGCGCCGCCCGCGCAGGGCGGCGCCACCCCCGGGCGAGAGCACGCACCCCCACAGGGAGGGCATCGAGAGCACGGCGGGCCTGCTTCGGTACACGCACGCCCGGGGGCTGCGCAGCAGGCGCCCGCAGGTGGGGCTCGGGGCGGCACTGTTGGCCTCCCCCCATCGGTGGTTCGAAGAAGGGGCAGACCTGGGCCTGCTCGCGCGACGATGAAGGGGGCCCTGGGTCACACAAACAAACAAATACACACAAATACCAGGATTCCCCATAGTTTGCCATAATTTTCTGGGTTTTCGTCTTCCCCCCCACTTCCCATATTTTCCTATATTCTCCTGGGGATGGACGATGAATTGTGTCTGTGTGAATATGGTTGGGTCCTTCGCCAGGATCATTTCCCCTCCTGAGACAAGGGTGGCCAAAGAGGCCAAGCAGCAGGTCGGCGTGTCAAGGCCGCCGCCGGCAGAAGGCGCACGCACAGTCGTCTGCATGACGGTAGTCCACGAGTGCCACTGGCAGAGCCTGGCCCTCCGAATACACCATGACCTCTATATGGTCCACGCAGCCCCCATTGCTCGACGTGTCTGCCCAGACTGAGTCGAAGTCCATGCCATCGCTGTTGTCTGGGGGCTTCGTGGCGTCCTTCATGGACCTTAACGCGCGGAAAGACTCACCCAGAGCAACGCGGGAAACAATTATTGTCCTCCTGGCACTCCTTGCCAACGGATTTGTGCGCTCCTCTGTGTAGTCGTCACTTTTCGAAGAATTTGCAGCGAAATACGCGGCGGTACCGAAGAGCTTACCAGTAGCCTCGCCACCCCGCTGTGGGTTGAAACCACCCTTGCAAATTTTCTCTAGCGTGGATGGTGCAGCCCCATGGAACATGAAGTGCTCGTTCAAGTCGAAGTCGTGCATGTTGACAGGCACTTTCAAATGCGATAGGGCCGCAATCGGAGAGCACGGGCCCGGGCGCCTCTTGCCCTCGAGAAGCCCAAGCTTTGCTTGATACAAATGCTGTAGTCTTGGGTTCACTACCGATCGCACACCGACAATATCCAGCTGAGGCGGATCACAATACAATGCAGACCTGTAAGACTCCCTATGCCCTACGGCCGTGCTGATAACAAGCTGTGCCATAAATTTGCCAAATGGGTTATCCAGTGAAACTATGTCGACCCCGTATTCCAAGTAGGGGGATAGCCGAGGCAACTGGGCAGCTTGCAGAATGTGGTACTTGTTCACAATATCTCTAGACGTTACTTCAACATGCTGCATATCTATATCAACTGTTTGCTGATCTGTCCGTGAAATACTACCATCAGTCGCAAACAAGAGCTTCAAAGTACCGTCAGATGAGCCAGAGAGGATCTTCCTCCCGTCTGGAGAGAAACAACAACACCAAACACCTGCGCCATGTCCACTCAAGGTCTGCTGCAACGCACCGTCAGACGCGAGCCAGAGCTTCAAAGTACCGTTGTCTGAGCCAGAGAGGATCTTCTTCCCGTCTGGAGAGAAACAACAACACCTAACCACATCGCCATGTCCACTCAAGGTCTGCTGCCACGCACCGTCAGACGCGAGCCAGAGCTTCAAAAAACCGTCATATGAGCCAGAGAGGATCGTTTTCCCGTCTGGAGAGAAACAACAAGACGAAACATCTGCGCCATGTCCACTCAAGGTCTGCTGCAACGCACCGTCAGACGCGAGCCAGAGCTTCAAAAAACCGTCCTCTGAGCCAGAGAGGATCTTCTTCCCGTCTGGAGAGAAACAACAACACCAAACCATACCGCCATGTCCACTCAAGGTCTGCTGCAACGCACCGTCAGACGCGAGCCAGAGCTTCAAAGTACCGTCAGATGAGCCAGAGAGGATCTTCTTCCCGTCTGGAGAGAAACAACAACACCTAACCACATCGCCATGTCCACTCAAGGTCTGCTGCCACGCACCGTCAGACGCGAGCCAGAGCTTCAAAAAACCGTCATATGAGCCAGAGAGGATCGTTTTCCCGTCTGGAGAGAAACAACAACACCAAACCATATAGCCATGTCCACTCAAGGTCTGCTGCAACGCACCGTCAGACGCGAGCCAGAGCTTCAAAGTACCGTCCTCTGAGCCAGAGAGGATCTTCTTCCCGTCTGGAGAGAAACAACAACACCAAACACGTTCGCCATGTCCAATCAAGGTCTGCTGCATCGTACCGTCAGACGCGAACCAGAGCTTCAAAGTACCGTCGCCTGAGCCAGAGAGGATCTTCTCCCCGTCAGGGGGGAGACAACACCAGCCAACACACTTGCTGTATCCAAATGCAAGGTGACCCAGAGAGGACGCTGTCAACCAACCGACACGCGCATTCGATCTGAGCCGATGACAGTACCCTTGAGCCGAAGTTTCGACGGAGGTGGTTCGAAGGTGGGGTCTTGAGGGATGGGGTCCTAAGGATATGAGGGGATCCAAGGGGTGCATCTACATTGCCTGAGGCACCTCATCCTTAGGACCCCATCCCTCAGGACAATATCTTCGAACCACCGACCCTCGGCTCCCCTGTCAACTCTCACATCCGAGGGAATCCTTCCCTTCACCAGCGAATGCCCCAGACAGCGAGCTCTTGCAATCTGTGCGGGGCAGTCTAGGTGGTGCAACCAGTGTGGTGCAGTCTAGTCGGTGCTACCCACATGGCGCAATGTATGTATCGCGATGCAATGCAAAACCATGCAAGCCAATACATGGCAACGCAACGCAATGCACACCAGTGCAAAACAACGCGAAGGAATGCAAGCAACGCAATGCACAGCAATGCAAAGCAATGCAACGCAACGCAACGCAAAGCAATACAACGCAATGAGCAACACTTCGGAGCAATGCAACGCAAACAACGCAAGGCAATACAGCGAGATACAATGCGATGCGAAGCAATCCAAACCAATGCAAAGCAATGCGTAGCAACGCATGGCAATACAATGCAACACAAAGCAACGCAGCGCAACGCAAGGCAATGCACGGCCATGCGAAGCACTGCGACGCGATGCAGATCAATACAACGAGATGCAATGCGATGCAAAGCAGCCCCAAACAATCCAAACCAATACCTAGCTGCGCATAGCAAAGCAACGCAATGCAAAGCAACACCAAATGATGTAGAACAGCACGACTCAGTTCACACCGGTCCACGGCAATGCGAAGCACGGCGAACCAATGCAACGCACCGCAACACCGTGCAATGCTACGCAATGCCAGGCAGCGCGGCGACGGGCGGCGACGAGCCAGCCGGACTGCCACCAGGGCAGATCGGCGACGGCGGCGACGGGAGGCGACGAGCTGGCCGGACCGCCCCTGGGGCCGGGAGGCGCCACAATGAAGGGGCCTACAAATAAACACACACAAATACCAGGATTCCCCATAGTTTGCCATCATTTTCTGGGTTTTCGTCTTCCCCCCCACTTCCCATATTTTCCTATATTCTCCTGGGGATGGACGATGAATTGTGTCTGTGTGAATATGGTTGGGTCCTTCGCCAGGATCATTTCCCCTCCTGAGACAAGGGTGGCCAAAGAGGCCAAGCAGCAGGTCGGCGTGTCAAGGCCGCCGCCGGCAGAAGGCGCACGCACAGTCGTCTGCATGACGGTAGTCCACGAGTGCCACTGGCAGAGCCTGGCCCTCCGAATACACCATGACCTCTATATGGTCCACGCAGCCCCCATTGCTCGACGTGTCTGCCCAGACTGAGTCGAAGTCCATGCCATCGCTGTTGTCTGGGGGCTTCGTGGCGTCCTGCATGGACCTTAACGCGCGGAAAGACTCGCCCAGAGCAACGCGGGAAACAATTATTGTCCTCCTGGCACTCCTTGCCAACGGATTTGTGCGCTCCTCTGTGTAGTCGTCACTTTTCGAAGAATTTGCAGCGAAATACGCGGCGGTACCGAAGAGCTTACCAGTAGCCTCGCCACCCCGCTGTGGGTTGAAACCACCCTTGCAAATTTTCTCTAGCGTGGATGGTGCAGCCCCATGGAACATGAAGTGCTCGTTCAAGTCGAAGTCGTGCATGTTGACAGGCACTTTCAAATGCGATAGGGCCGCAATCGGAGAGCACGGGCCCGGGCGCCTCTTGCCCTCGAGAAGCCCAAGCTTTGCTTGATACAAATGCTGTAGTCTTGGGTTCACTACCGATCGCACACCGACAATATCCAGCTGAGGCGGATCACAATACAATGCAGACCTGTAAGACTCCCTATGCCCTACGGCCGTGCTGATGACAAGCTGTGCCATAAATTTGCCAAATGGGTTATCCAGTGAAACTATGTCGACCCCGTATTCCAAGTAGGGGGATAGCCGAGGCAACTGGGCAGCTTTCAGAATTTGGTACTTGTTCAAAATATCACTAAACGTTACTTCAACATGCTGCTTATCTGTATCAACTGTTTGCTGTTCTGTCCGTGATTTACTACCATCAGACGCGAGCCAGAGCTTCAAAGTACAGTCGGCTGAGCCAGAGAGGATCTTCTTCCCGTCTGGAGAGAAACAACAACACCTAACCACATCGCCATGTCCACTCAAGGTCTGCTGCAACGCACCGTCAGACGCGAGCCAGAGCTTCAAAGTACCGTCGTCTGAGCCAGAGAGGATCTTCTTCCCGTCTGGAGAGAAACAACAACACCTAACCACATCGCCATGTCCACTCAAGGTCTGCTGCCACGCACCGTCAGATGCGAGCCAGAGCTTCAAAAAACCGTCATATGAGCCAGAGAGGATCGTCTTCCCGTCTGGAGAGAAACAACAAGACGAAACATCTGCGCCATGTCCACTCAAGGTCTGCTGCAACGCACCGTCAGACGCGAGCCAGAGCTTCAAAGTACCGTCGCCTGAGCCAGAGAGGATCTTCTTCCCGTCTGGAGAGAAACAACAACACCTAACCACATCGCCATGTCCACTCAAGGTCTGCTGCAACGCACCGTCAGACGCGAGCCAGAGCTTCAAAGTACCGTCGTCTGAGCCAGAGAGGATCTTCTTCCCGTCTGGAGAGAAACAACAACACAAAACCATATAGCCATGTCCACTCAAGGTCTGCTGCATCGCACCGTCAGACGCGAGCCAGAGCTTCAAAGTACCGTCGCCTGAGCCAGAGAGGATCTTCTTCCCGTCTGGAGAGAAACAACAACACCAAACCACATCGCCATGTCCACTCAAGGTCTGCTGCACCGCACCGTCAGACGCGAGCCAGAGCTTCAAAGTACAGTCGGCTGAGCCAGAGAGGATCTTCTTCCCGTCTGGAGAGAAACAACAACACCAAACAGGTTCGCCATGTCCACCCAAGGTCTGCTGCATCGCACCGTCAGACGCGAGCCAGAGCTTCAAAGTACCGTCGCCTGAGCCAGAGAGGATCTTCTCCCCGTCTGGGGGGAGACAACACCAGCCAACACACTTGCTGTATCCAAATGCAATGTGACCCAGAGAGGACGCTGTCAACCAACCGACACGCGCATTCGATCTGAGCAGATGACAGTACCCTTGAGCCGAAGTTTCGACGGAGGTGGTTCGAAGGTGGGGTCTTGAGGGATGGGGTCCTAAGGATATGAAGGGATCCAAGGGGTGCATCTACATTGCTTGAGGCACCTCATCCTTAGGACCCCATCCCTCAGGACAATATCTTCGAACCACCGACCCTCGGCTCCCCTGTCAACTCTCACATCCGAGGGAATCCTTCCCTTCACCAGCGAATGCCCCGGACAGCGAGCTCTTGCAATCTGTGCGGGGCAGTCTAGGTGGTGCAACCAGTGTGGTGCAGTCTAGTCGGTGCTACCCACATGGCGCAATATATGTATCGCGATGCAATGCAAAACCATACAAGCCAATACATGGCAACGAAACGCAATGCACACCAGTGCAAAACAACGCGAAGGAATGCAAGCAACGCAATGCACAGCAATGCAAAGCAATGCAACGCAACGCAACGCAAAGCAATACAACGCAATGAGCAACACTTCGGAGCAATGCAACGCAAACAACGCAAGGCAATACAGCGAGATACAATGCGATGCGAAGCAATCCAAACCAATGCAAAGCAATGCGTAGCAACGCATGGCAATACAACGCAACACAAAGCAACGCAGCGCAACGCAGGGCAATGCACGGCCATGCGAAGCAATGCGACGCGAGGCAGATCAATACAACGAGATGCAATGCGATGCAAAGCAGCCCCAAACAATCCAAACCAATACCTAGCTGCGCATAGCAAAGCAACGCAATGCAAAGCAACACCAAATGATGTAGAACAGCACGACTCAGTTCACACCGGTCCACGGCAATGCGAAGCACGGCGAACCAATGCAACGCACCGCAACACCGTGCAATGCTACGCAATGCCAGGCAGCGCGGCGACGGGCGGCGACGAGCCAGCCGGACTGCCACCAGGGCAGATCGGCGACGGCGGCGACGGGAGGCGACGAGCTGGCCGGACCGCCCCTGGGGCCGGGAGGCGCCACAATGAAGGGGCCTACAAATAAACACACACAAATACCAGGATTCCCCATAGTTTGCCATCATTTTCTGGGTTTTCGTCTTCCCCCCCACTTCCCATATTTTCCTATATTCTCCTGGGGATGGACGATGAATTGTGTCTGTGTGAATATGGTTGGGTCCTTCGCCAGGATCATTTCCCCTCCTGAGACAAGGGTGGCCAAAGAGGCCAAGCAGCAGGTCGGCGACGGCGGTGACGGGAGGCGACGAGCTGGCCGGACCGCCCCTGGAGCCCAAGTAGGAGCCCCTAAGTGCAAGGTCCTGCGTAAGGGCAG